CTCACTCACCCTTACCTTCACTCACACACTCACCCTCAGCTTCACTTCCATCAGCCTCACTTCACTCACTCACCCACTCCCACCTTCACTCACACACCTTCACTCACTCGCTCACCTTCACTCACCCTCTCCTTCACTCACACACCTTCACTCACTCACTCACTCACTCACCTTCACTCACTCACTCTCACTCACTCACTCACTCACTCACTCACCCTTACCTTCACTCACTCGCCTTCTCTAACTCACTCTCACCTTCAATCACCCACCCTCATCTTCACTCACTCGTCTTCTCTAACTCACTCTCACCTTCAATCACTCACCCTCGCCTTCAATCACTCACCCTCACCCACACACTTTCACTCACTCACCCTCACCTTTTCTCACTCGCCCTCTTCACTCCCTCACTCACCCACCCTCACCTTCATTCACTCACACTCACTCACTCACCCTCACCCTCACCTTCACTCACCCTCACCCACCCTCACTTTCATTCACTTACCCTCACTCGCCCTCATCTTCACTCACTCACCCACCCACCCTCACCTTCATTCACTCACTTACTCACTCACTCATGTTAATATCATCATGGCCATATATTTTCAGAATAAATCCACACAGTGAAAAGAAGATGTGGGAAACAAGTGGAATTACCTTTTTCCTGAACCATTCCAAAAAGCATTCCAACATTGTCACAAAACAACTGAAGATTAATGACAGGCTGTGTGTGGTTATTATTTCCAAATATTACATACCAGAAGGGGCAGAATTGTTATATAATTATGGTGATGAGAAAGCACCATTTTTTGCAAATTCACAAACTTTTCCAAATTAAAGTAATTTATGATCTATGTTCGAGTTGTGTTGTGTTGTGTTGTGTTGTGTTGTGAACATGTAAAATAACAATAAAATTCAATATTTCCTTGACAAGAAATTAAAACACAGTGAACATGCTAAAAACATCAAAACATTAAAATTAAATGTCAGTTAAATTAAATAGTTTTACAGCATTCAAAAGTCAGGAAATACACAATTGAGTATATGAAGTTTCACACGCAAGTGCCACATGACAGACTAATTGCTGAACATTTTCAAAATCGCTAAATTAATGAAATTTATTGTATATGCAAAATAAGGTTTATGTAAACGTAATGAAACTAATTTTCTTTTAAATTTACAACTATTCCCCATCCCAGTAATGAACTACTCGTAAATACCTTAAACTAAAAATGAATGGTGCATAGTACTACTGTAGATCATATTATTCAAGCTGTTAATTGAATAAATTAACACAAAAAGGTGCAAATTGGGCAAAAACAATGTACATATCACCAGTGGTATGTTGGTATCCATTGTCAGGTATATTTACTAATCTATTAACAATCAATTGACAAGTTTCAAACAAAACTATTTTTTTTAATTAACAATGTTGATTCATTTTAGTTTCAATAAACATTTTCAAATTATTGAAAAAACACTTCCCAAGATAGAATTTAAACACAGCTTCACATTTCAACTTATAATAAACATAGTCATGCACAGAGCATACAATTTCTAAGCACATGTCCTTGTAAGTGTATATGATCCACTGTGGACGCAATTCTTGTATTTTATTCATCAGCCAATGACGTCCTGGTTTGTGTCCTGATTCATTATAGAGTAATAATACATCATATTGGATACTGGCACTATACAAATGTACACCCTAAAGTACATTCCAGGGTTTTTGCGTTCCTGCGTTTTGCAAAAGAAAAACAATATATCAAGTACAGTTAGATTCATTTAGCTTTAGCCAGATATGAATTTTAAATATAAAACAAAAGTCAATGAAAATATAACATTGTTGCAAACACATTAAAGTAAGAATTTCGA